ACACGACACAATTTATTTTGCCATTATCCATATTCTCAAGTAGATCGTCACACATTTGTATCAAAGAGGACAGTGTGGAGTGTTTAGGTCGAAATCCCGATTGAAACTTGGTGAGTAAGAAATTATCAGAAACAAAGCTATATCTGTTATCGTTAAAATATCAACGAATTTCAGAAATTCCAGACTTCCAGGTCATGGATTTGGAAAAAAGTGGTCATGGGAAGTCATGGAATTTTAAAAGGGGGAAGGTGTACGAACCCTGTGAGAGGCTTTCACCCCCTGTTAATATTCAAAATGGCGGACATCCAGGGCGAATGCCTTTCATAAGCGCACTGGCTAGGATCATGGCGTCAGCATTTGACCTTCTGTGTGTCTTTATTCTGTGTTCATGCACTCTCATCCACTTTTCGCTACGCGTGCGGCAATATCCAGTCAATTTTCACCGAGTGTGAGAGAAAATAGCCTGGGTACGAGGTTGATGTAACTCTTGTTTGAGAGAAAACTCTCATGCAAACTTTCGCTTGTCAATTATCATCGTGGTTTGACCAGGGCTTTGGTTCGCTCACATTTGAACTTGCGTCCTTCGCAATCCTGTACTGCTGCAAGGAGAGATGATTAAGATCAACCTACCTTTCTCTACGTAGGGTTTGATAGTGACCTGAATTTGTGGGCAACATCCAAATTGAAATTACCAAGAAAGAAAAAGTTACGAAAACTTGCAGACAGACCCAAATCACGACCTGCGCCTCAAAGACTTGTTAAAAAGCAAGGTGCTGCCATTACTAGGTATGTACATTGGGCTAGAAATCTTGTGAAGTTATTTGGAGGGAATGAGGGATTAGCTGAATGTGGAACATAATAGCGTGTTTCATTACGCGGTAGATGCTGGTCAATCTGTACCCTGGGTGCCAGAGCCTCGTGTGATAGAAGTGAGGACACGACGAGGAGGCTCTGACCACACGAGCATCCAGCCTCACTTTGGTGAGTTCAATATTTGAACTCTGTTTGTGATTGGTCTAAATTTATGTGAGTCTTTTCATTGGTTAACCGATGAGCGTCGGTTAACCAATGAAAAGAGTGGAAATTTTTGTCTGGTTGTGCTTCCAGGAGGAAAATTCTTTTTTCCTGCCCTGGTGCAAATGAACAGAGAGATGTAGTTCAATTTTGTTGCTCCTGTACAGCAGATGTGAGCATCTGACATTGACAGAAGTTGACCACCATCTGCTGACCTGCAATGCTTGCCTACTCATTGATTGGACAATGGTTAGCAATGTTAGCTTAAAACGTGATACGTGACTGTACACATCTTTTTTAGGGCGTGTTTAGAAACAGTTTGTCAGACAATGAAGAGTCAGATTATGTACAGAGCATTGAAAGGATGTATGTATTTTCCACTTCTAACCAAATTAACTTTAATTTTCTTGTATGTGACTTCTTTATTACCTGTGTAGTGTCTGATACTCTGCTTGTTTTTTATGACTGAATTTGAGTTGTCTTCGAACATTTTGTTATGCTAAAAATATATACTTACACTGGTAAAGGTCATCTGACTTGTCTAATGTCTAGCCCATACCTTTTCAAATGCCAGAACGCCCTGTTCAAATGCCAAAACGGAGTATTCAAATGCCAGATCTACCTTTTCAAAAGCCATAACTCCGTTTTCAAATGCCAGAACTCTGTTTTCAAATGCCATAACTCCCTTTCCAAATGCCAAAACTCAGTTTTCAAATGCCAGAACTCCTTTTTCAAACGTCAGAACTCCGGTATCAAATGCTATTTGCATGCGTTGCAACCAGTATTCTTATACTTTCCTGCCCAACATCGTCTCTGTATATTTTTCAGGGCTGTCTCATGTACGACATTTATCAACTGTACGAGAGCACCTCTCGAGTCTAGTTCAATCGACGGTGGCCGGCGATGATGACATCACGAGGCAGGGCTTGACGCGGGAAAAATGGTCCGAGCTATATCAAGATGGCAAGGTACATCTGTCCTATATATTAACATGTTCTGAATGATATCTCAAATGCGAGGATCCAGTGTTGCTGTGGCTTACCCCTAGGGAATAAAGGGGAGAGGGGTGGGGGGGAGCGTGCTGTGCCTGAAAGACAGTACTTAAGCAACTGTGGTGTAAGTTGCAACAAGGTTTTTCAACCTTAATCGAAAATTGCTTCAGCTTGACTTTTATTTCCTTCTAGTTATGTTCAGACGAAGAGGAAATTTCGAAGTTGGTTTATCATGGTGGTGTGGACCAGGAAATTCGACATTTGGTATGTACGATTATGTTAGTGTTTAGGAGTAACAAAGTTCATCCAGTTTTACTTTACCAAACATCATCTATGAATGATGAAAGGATGAAGTTAGCTTGCCAAAATTCTCCAAGCGTTTAATCATGAATCTAACTAACCACACCAACAAACTTCTTATTATTTTTATTAAACTTCTTATTCTCTGTCAGGTCTGGCCTTACCTCCTCGGCTTTCACAAATACGGCAGCACGCACGAAGAACGTGAGCACGAAGACAACGTGCGTGCACACGAATATAAGAAACTTCTCGCAGAATGGACGAACGTCGAAATCTTGCTTCGGCAACGTACGCGAGTGTCGGAAACGGATCGGGACAGCACGGCAGACAGCGTGGGTAGCAAGGAGGACGAGTTTAACGAAACCCCGGAAAATGATCCCAATGATACGAAGAACGACATCGGATCACCCGACAGTGGTAACGTATCTAATGGCAAGCTAACGAACGGGTACGGACATAATGATCCCGGAGAAAGTGACCACCCGCACAACGGTACCCCCGGAGAAAATCACTCCCGGCATAATGACACCCCCGGAGAAAACTCTCCCAAATCTGAACTTGATAATGAGAGTGGCTGTTATGATTGCGAGACCGGGAAGTTATGCAGTCCTGCCGACGAGAATAGCCCCACCTGCGAGAAGTGTCACCTGTGTAATGGTGGGTCATCTGGGGATCACGTTGGGTCATCTGGGGATCACGTTGGGTCATCTGGAGATCACGTTGGGTCATCTGGGGATCACGTTGGGTCATCTGGGGATCACGTTGGGTCATCTGGGGATCACGTTGGGTCATCTGGGGATCACGTTGGGATGACGAATGGTTATCATAGTAATGGCGTGGATAATAATGTCGGTGAGACGAAGCAGTGCACGTGTCAGAAAGATGACAGACGTAGTCGTAGACTCAGTTCGTATTCAGTAAGTTCCCCGTTTACTTTGTTATATTGGATAGCTCTGTGAGTTCCATAAACTACACACGTAAAAACGCACAAGTTGTTACAAGTCTGCAAACAAGTTGTTACAAATCTGTTCACAAGCTGTCGACAAGTTGTGTTCGCACTGCTTGTTCCCAGTTGTTGTATACAAGTTTGGAACAAGCTGTTAACAATTTGTAACAACCTTGTTGATGTTATCAGACCTGTCACAAGGTTGTTCTAACAAGGCTGATACAGTCACGATAAACAAGAATGTTACAAGGTTCATGACACAAGGTTGTAACAATACTGCTATATCATGACTGTATCGGACTTGTTTGAACAACCTTGTAACAAGTCTGATAATATCAACAAGGTTGTTACAAAGTGTTAACAGCTTGTTCCAAACTTGTTGACAACTTGTGCAAGCAATGCGAAGACAACTTGTTGACGGCTTGTTGGCAGACTTGCTACAAGATGTGAGATTTTTGCGTGTGTATTCTCCTTAGAGGTCCAGTAAGGTCCTTCATTGATCCAGTTTTACTACAGGGAGAAACTGGAATACCGGAGGAAACCTGTGGTATTTGATAGAGTCAAACTGGAAGCATTCTTCTCACATGTGAGATGAAATTATAATCAGACAACTGTATATTGCTGGAATACACCCTTTCGATAATTACGTCACACATACTTTTTGGTCTTGGAGCCTCGCTCTCATTAGTAAATTACGCAAGGTGATTGGCTCACGATTCATGAGAGCGAGGCTCCCAGGCCAAATGTCGTAATTATCAAAAGGGTGTATTGAAGCAGTCTGTCCCAGAGGTAAAACAAATACTAGAGCTGTGCAAACTCCGGTTATTTTAGCTCCACAGCTCTAACATGTACCAACCACTGTGCCATGTGTATGACAATTTTAAGGAAATTTCATATTTAAAAGTAGAAGCAGGCGAAAGTATTTCAGAATTTATTTTATTCCTTTTTGAGCTTTCTCCTTTATTTATCAAATATACATGCTTCGGTGCTTGTTTAAACAATAGAAAGTAAAACCGCATTGGCAACGTGGTATTTTTCTGCGCTTGCAGAATTTTCGAAGCTACGAATCGGATCGGAGCAAGCAATTAAACTTTATAGTAACTTCAAATCATTCAACTTAATTTTTCCATTACCAAAAGTTCATTGAAATATGAAATAATTTTTCAAAATTTTGTCTGCCGGAGTTTTCCAACTCCGGCTCCAGCAAAATATGCCAGAGCTCCGGTACTCCGCCGCACAGCTCTAACATGTACCAACCACTGTGCCATGTGTATGACAAAGGAAGGGTTTAAGTATTGTATTATTATTACACCATCCAGGGCTTTTACTCAATTGTTCATTCGTTTCCTTTAAGGATGATCTGTTAGATAATTTTGGTCTGAATATTCATCGTATTGACAAGGACGTATTACGCTGTGATAGAAATTATCCTTACTTCAATCATGAAAACCTCGAAAAATTACGACGAATCATGTGCACGTAAGTAGGAAAGATTGCATAAAGGCTGATTTCCACTGTTGCGTTTTTCGTACGCACGTTTTGTTGCGAAATGTTGTAAAATGCGGATAATATAGCCTTGCGAAGTTTGCCGTTTTTCAGTAATTTTGTATTACGCACGGGAAATTGACAGCCCAAACGGGTGTTGGGGCATCAATTTCCCATTTGTAATACAACATGACTGAAAATTGCAAATTTTGCAAGGCTATATTATCCGCATTTTACAACATTTCGCAACGAAACTTTGGTATATTACTAATTTTGTGATGCTCTTTCAAGCTGTGATGAAATTTTTGTCTAGACCAAAATTTAGTCTATAATGCAAATGGTCCATTAATTGAACTAAAACAGCAGACCCCCTCCCCGTCTTTATAAACTGTCTAATATTTTATGAACCCCCTTTTTCCTGGCTAAAAAATATGTGACCCCCCTCCACTGTTTCCACCTCCCCACCCCTCCTGCTAAATTATGACTAGTCCCTAACTGGTAAGGGTAATCAGTATAGAATTAATCTAATTTATTTAGCTACGTGTGGACGACGTTAGATGTTGGATATGTGCAAGGCATGTGTGATCTGTTAGCACCACTCTTGGTCATTTTCGATGACGGTACGTAGTGTTTTGACAGACTTAACTACACACGAAAAAACGCACAAGTTGTTACAAGTTTGCAAATAAGTTGTCACAAATCTGTTCACAAGCTGTCAACAAGCTGTCTTCGCACTGCTTGTTCCCAGTTGTTGTAACAAGTTTGGAACAAGCTGTTAACAACTTGTAACAAGCTTGATGGCATTATCAGACTTGTCACAAGGTTGTTCTAACAAGTCCGATACAGTCATGATAAACAAGAATGTTACAAGGTTGATGATACAAGGTTGTAACAATATTGTTATATCATGATTATATCGGACTTGTTGGAACAACCTTGCAACAAGTCTGATAATATCAACAAGGTTGTTACAAATTGTCAACAGCTTCTTCCAAACTTGTTGACAACTTGGGACAAGCAGTGCGAACATAACTTGTTGACGGCTTGTTGGCAGACTTGCTACAAGATGTGAGATTTTTGCATGTGTAATCGTGAACCCAAATTTGACTTTTCATATTTCTGTGTATTTCAGAAGCGAAATCGTATGATTGTTTTGTCTTGCTAATGAAACGGATGGACCATAACTTCCCTCATGGCGAGAACATGGATAAACATTTTGTCAACATGAGATCGTTAATACAGGTATATTCACGCATTGTTTCACCGTCCTCTTCTCTTTACAACAAAAGCTGGTGTACTCATCATTGATCATCATTTTTAGATTTTAGATCCAGAACTGTTTGAGGTGATGCAACAGAATGGTGATTTGACACATTGTTACTTTTGCTACAGATGGTTCTTGTTAGATTTTAAGCGAGGTACGTTTGATTTCTACAGTGACACAAGGGCGGATTTTCATTTTTTTAAAGGCGGGGGTTAGGTGTTAGGGTTAAAGACTTTCACACAAAATAGGAGGGGTGAAGCGAAATTTTGGTGAGGGTGAACACTTTATAAGAGGGGTTAGAGATTCTAGAGAGGGTTAACCCCCCTAACCCCCCCCCCCCCCACAG